GCCCCCCATCCACCTGGCCTGCATCTGCTTGCCTCCCCTCCCCATGAATGATGGGCAGGGGGTGGGGAGCGTGGACGGAGCGCCACCACCCAGTACCCTGTGCCACCGCCGCATCCAAGGAGCAGGGGTGGGGGGCGAGGCCAGGGATGCTGGCCTCATCCTTCACTCTGTCCACTCCATCACCACTGGCTCCCGGGAGCTGTACTGGCCTTGCTCTCCTGTTCCTTCCCTTCTGTTCCCACTGTTATGGCAGCATCAAGGCCTGCTCTTCCCCCACGCCGTGGTGGGCCTGAGCCCATTTCCCACCTCCCTCGTGCCACTGCCATGGGTCCAGAAATGTTCCCCACCCCCTTTGCACTGTCCCCACTCCCCCGTCTCCTCTGTCCCTGTTGTCCCTGCTTTCATGTCGGCGGTCCACTGTGTCACCGCCACCACCTGCAGGCCAAACGCTCTGAGAGCACTCTGATTGGCTGCTGAGACAGCCAGTCAGAGTGCAAATAAAGCGTAATGGACAGACAGGCAGACAGACAGACAGACCACAGCTTTTATAATATTAGAATAGATATAGATATATAGATATAGATATATGTACATGTATGTATATGTGTAAAGTTCATGGTTATAAGTTTTATATTATGTTGTATCATTAAACCTGTAAATAGTTAAATATCACTGGGTTCTTGGTCTCTGCTCTGCTCTGTAGGAAAAGGAGATGAGCTGGCCTACAGCTTGGTAGCCATACTCCCACAACATACACACACCCACTGACATCCCTTCAGTTGGAGAAGGGGTACCTTCCACGTACCACCCGGATTGCACTTGCAGTACTTTAATCATGAACCTGTTTAGAGAAGGTCCTGCAGGGTATTCAACTATATGAGATCTTAAGTTTCCTTCCAGCCTTACATTTACATGATTCTAGCAGCATCAGCTTTTGGCCCAGCAAAGAAGTCCCCAGTTTTCTGAACTCTGGTATCAGTTTATCAGACTAGAGAACAAATTTTGAGTGAATCTCAAAGGAATCCAAGCTGGGATAACATCCCTTTTATCCTCCTTCTCAGTAGGCACACTATTCCAATGTAGACTCACTCTGGCCTCATTCAACTGCACCCCCTTTTGCCCCCAGACATGCTCACAGCCCAACTGAATTTGGGCCATGGGATCTATGCTGGTGTGAAGATCTATGGTTTCAGTTGTTCTGGGGATTTTCAAATCTCTCTCCTCATCAAGAAACTGTGTCCTTCCCTTCCTCTGTCTCAGCCTATCTTTCTCACCACTCTGCTTGGACAACTTGGCATTCAAGAAATTGAATGCAACCAAGACTGAATTCCTAATTGTATTGTTCTAAACATTCTACTCCATACTTGCAGTTTAAGTCCTACCTATAATCCTCCTTTCATTGACTTCATCACAACCAAATCTCTTCAGGCCTTCGTTATATCCTGTCTTAGTTATCAGCCAGTCCTTCTCTGGTCTCCTAGATATTGCTTCTTTCAATCCATATGAAATGCTGCCAGTAAGAGCAGAATTCTATTCCACTTTGTGAGCCCAAGTGGCAGTTCTCCAGCTGGTCTGCAATTCCATTTCCCTGCATTGTGGACCCATAAGTGCACACATGAATAGTAGCCAGGCAGGTATACAGCTATGTATGCATGCATATGGGTACAAGACCTGGACATTATATTTGGCAAAAGCCTATGGGAGAAGGGACTACCCCAGTATTGTTCCTAAGTAGCTGAGTTGTTAGAGCACTTACCCCTGAAGCAAGGCATCTTGGTTCTAGCCCAAACCAAGTTTGAACCTGTATCTGTTTGGCTTTCTAGCACACTACTCTAACCACCAGGCTATTGGTCAGATAGTAGAGACTGCCTGCTTTTGAGGTTGGCTCTTTGGTCAGCGAAGCGAGGCAGATGTGTAACAAAGAAGAAAAGAACAAATTGGAGGGTGTGGGGTTCAATGAGGTGGATGGTTCTGTAGCAAGACGCAGGATGTATGTTCTAGCCTGAACCCTTTTTCCCAGTGGATCAGAAACTTCCCCACTGGACACTGGGGATTCAGCTCCAAGAGAAAGGATGGTAAGGTAATTAAGTGCTGCCTAAACCTGTAGCAAAGTAGTTAAGAGAGACGCTACTTCAAATCTCCTCCCAACTGAGTTTAGATTTGGGCAAGTGCCCAAACCACTTACCTATTGGCATAGAAACATGAGGGCCACCCATGTCCTCATTTTTTCTAGACTTATGCTCAGGTATGCATGCATGTAGCTATGTACCTACTGGTTAGTACATAAGCTACTGCATATGCTCAGTAGTTGTGTAGATGCTTGTATATCCATGCTACATGCATAACAGAATCATAAACTGCATAGAAAGGGCAAAAGGACCACCTACACAGCTGGAAAATAACATTTAAGCACATAAAATAGAATAGAACTCTGCTCTACATGTCTTTCCATTCACATTAGTTTGATCACGTAACTCCCCTTTTTAGTGGCTGCACTAGGGTCAGATATTAGAAGCATTACCAGTGACAATTGTCAGCAAGGTTCCCTCTAAGGTGCGCGTGTGCGCAGCCACACAAACTAAAAGTGTGGCTGCGCACAGCCTTTTCAAGGCTGCACACCAGGAGAAGTCAGGGTGGGAGCCTGGCGCAGGCTCCGCCAGCTCCAGGGAAGTGCTCCACTCCCCCGCATCAGAGCCAGGGAGTGGAGCACTTCCCTGGAGCCAGTGGAGCCCGCGCCAGCCCCCAACCCCAGCCTCCATCCCTGCCTTGCCTCACCTTGGGGAGGAGCCGCTGCCTGCCCCGAATGAGGCTCCTCCAGCTCGGGGACACTGCTCTCTCCTCGGCATCGCCTCATGGAGCAAGGAGGCACATGGTGTCAGGGCCGGGGATTGGAGCAGTGTCAGGCACTGGTCATATTTCTGTCTCTATAGATTTTCCTGATGGTGGTAAAGCTTTTGGCACCTAACAGTAGCAGTAATTATTACACACTGTTAGAGTGCATTGTGCTCCATCTGTATGCTTGGTGTCATACGAAAAGAGAAGAAGACATAGTCCTTGCATGCAGGAGCCAGGAGTTTAAATGGGCAGATAACATATCCCACTCTAGGAGAGCTAGATGAAAGGAACAGTTCATAGTGCTTGGTTCAGGTATACTTTTTATATGGCAAGACTTTGGTGGGGGATATTGCAAGAGGAGATGTTGGTCATCTGCTCAACCAGGGTTGGGAGGGCATTTGCTCTCTATCCATGCAGGCCATGTGGAAGAAGACTGTAAAGGAAGAATTGGAAAAGTGGTAGGCTCTGCTAGAGCAGTAAGGGAGGTGAAAAGGATGTGACAGGAAATCAGATGGGGAGGTAGGGCCTTTACCATGAGTCAAGAATCTGAAACATGCAAGTGGGGGTAGAGTGGAAGCTGGAGTGGCAATGGGTTTGTAGAGGACGTAGCATATGTTGAGAGGAGTTAGATGGGGATCAGAGACAAGGAAGAGGAGAGCAGCAGTGACCTGGGGGGAGAGAACTACAGCACAAACTGATAAGCCATGGCAGCAGCACTCCACAAAACATTTCAGTTGGAATAATGCCTCTGGCTTTTCACACTAGGAGTGCCTTAGGGACAGATGTTGGATACTGTCAGTGTTTCCTGCATAATGTAGACAGTACTGCAGGTGAGTCTACCTACTGGGATAATGTGTGGAGCAGTCCTGAAGAAAGGATGAAGTAAAAAGTCTGGATTGCCCAGTTTTGGGGGTAGCAGAAATTCAGAAATGTGTCTTTTTCTATAAAATCTACCAAAAAAACCCAAACAAAACATTCCATGGGGACTAGCTGTACAGGCTGCATCCTCAAACCCTAAGCCACAGAAGCCACTCTCACTAATATCTATGGGAACCAAGCTATGTAGATCCAGGGTGTAATGTGACCTTAAAAATGAATGAGATGCATACCAAGGGTCAGAGCACGGAGGCTCAAGCATACATGTACATGAGGCAGCAGCAGCCAAATACAAGCCTGAGGGTCAAATTCTCTTGAGCTGTGGTCCCATCCCCCTTCCCTGCCTCTGGGCTAGTCACGTAGCTGCTTTGTGCCTCAGCTTCCCCATTGATAGCAGTTAAGGATATTTTTATTTTCGGAAGTAGCTCAGACAAAGTTCACTTACAAGTTGTTGAAATATGGAATCTCTCTGCAATAATAACAGCAACATCTACTAGGGAAAGTGCTGGGTCACACATCATTATCTGTAGCAGTCTCCCCCTTAGCACCATATTTTATTTTTACCCCAAATGTCAGCAACCTGATCTGCATCTTCTCACACTGGCTGAATAATATAACCCCATTTTTCATTTGGCTTCTTCATGAAATATTCATGCTGAGGCACCTTAGGTTGAGAATGCGGGGGGTCAAACTGAGAGCACAGACTGCAAGGTCACATCAGGTGGATTTTCTAAATAGGAATAACCCAAGGGGTAACCTTTACCCTGGCCTGTAGCACACAGAGACAGAAAGGGTCAGATAGTGGGATTAAAAGGCAACTATTATTAAAACAGAAACAAACAACTTTTCTTAACAATATATAAACTGCAGCATTTCTGAACAGGACTGAGGCAAGAATCTGTCATTTTCAAGTAATTTCATGTGAACTGAGTCATTTGATGTTGGCCTGGAGAATTTCCTGCAAGACAGCCCCCGTGTTAGCCTTCAGAAGCTAGGTTAGAATTTAACATCTTTCATTTCAAGCTAACTTACCTATGAATAATCATCATGTTTCAGTGAGGAAGGGAAAAAATCCCCACTCTCCCCCATGAAATAATGTTGCACCATGAGGGGGGTCATGGGGATTTTAGATCTTTCTCTGAAGTACCCAGCTTTGAACTTCATCAGAGGCAGAAGACCAGGTCTTGTGGGCCAGTTCCATATTGCTCTGGCAATCCCCTTGTTCCTAAATTAGGAGTTTCCATACAGAGCTTCACTATCTGCAATGCCTTTTGCACCTATGTACCTACCTGGCAGTCTGCTTCCACTCCAGGCCCTCCGACGTGTTGAGCAGCTCGTTGAGTTGTATAAATAACAGCGGGCAGCTTGCATCATTCTCCTCCTCCTGTTGCAGCATGAAGCCAACTCTCTCAGCTGCTGTGGAGACTCTGGAAGTGAAGATACTTCGGCCAACTGCTTGGCAAATTACCACAGAGTTTCTGCTGTGGGGCTCATTTGGACTAGTCTCTTTGCTGCTGGCCAAACCAGTGTCTGGTCCCACACAGGGAAGGAGGCCCCCACTTGCCTCCATTTTCATTGCATCAGACAGCTGGTGTTCAGGTACCGGCTCCCCCATGTGTGTCAGAATGCCACACTCCTCTGCAGCAGAGTCCTTGATTCTCGTCTCGCCCTGAGCAGTGCAGTAACTCGTGAGATTCCAGTCATCCTGCCTTTATAACAGTCCGGAGCCTGTTTAGGACAAACACAGCTCAACACCTGGAAGCACAGCCCAAAACACTGTTATCAAAATAAGGAGCTTAGCCTGGCAAACACTAGCCATGGCTTGCTCATGCTGCCCCAAGCCAACCAGTCAGTCACTGGGCATGGATGTGAGCAGCTCTTGGGGCTGACCCATCTAAACACTTGTTTACAAATGTACCCAATTTGAAAGATCAGACAGTAGCTCGGGATGTTCTCGGGAAGCACTGAAATCTGAGCTGAGGAGTCAGGGTAGCAATGAAACCACCTGACATCTGAGAGTGAAAGAGGTGAAGACCAAAGGAGTCAGGCTTTGCGAATGGTTCAAATGAACCTGAACCACCTGAACCAAACCCCACTGGGTGTGAAATTCCGAGGACAGACCTTCCTTTATCTCCTCTTATTCATTCTATCCCCTTTTCTCTTTCCTTCCAGTCTCTCTCCACGTCTCTTGTTAGCTATGGAATAGTTGTATTTTGTGCTGCCCTGTGACAGTTCTGGCACACTCTGACCTGCTGGCCCATGACAGGAAGGAAGGTGTGGAACCAGTGCTTTCTGGGCAGGGATGCCACTCACTCTTGGTGCTCACCCTGTGCCAAAACACCAGCCGCTGCCTGACTTGCTGATGGCAATGTCATGTGTTTGTCTCTTGTCTCATTTCCAGTTTGATGGCTCTAGCAAGGAGTTCACCATCCAGAACCCACCACCAACATCAGCTGTCTGACAGAAAGGTCTTAATGCCAAGCCAGACAACTGGAACTGTCGCTGTACATCCCTTCCTTCTGCGGACAAGCTTGAACTTTGTAGTTACTTCACACAGACTAATCTTTGTGAACAGCCAGTTGGCTTCTTTATTTCCCTCAGGGGAGGCCGAACTGCAGATTCCTATGTATGTCACCTTGCTCCAACCTACAACATCTTTAAAATCCAGCCAGATTTTATAGAGGAGCCAGGGCGTCCCTCATCAGGCAAAGATAATTCAAGATGGCTGACCTTGCAGTGTGTGGGAGGGGGGTGGCCATGACCACACTGCTGTGGTAATTCAAGATAGTGTGCACAGGAAAGAGCACACCCTCAATGGTGTGGTCATTCAGGATCGCATGTCTGTGAGGAGAAAGGCTGACCTCACTTCTGTGATAATTCAGAATTGTGGCTTCTGTGGTATACGTAAGAGGGAAGTGTGTGTCCTCACAGCTGTGGTCATTCCGGATGATGTATGTGTCAGGGGAAGGGCACACCCACAATGCTGTGGCAATTCAGGTTGGCGTGCAAGAGGGAAGGATGTGCCCTCAGTTCTGTGGCAATTCAGGATGGCGTGTATGGCAGGAAGTATGTGTCCCTTGCTGTGGTCATTCAGGATGGTGTCTGCTGGCTCCCTACATAGGCTTTAAGACCCCAAAAATAAACATCTTTGAGAAGACTGGAAGGATGGTGCAAATATCAGTTTTCCAAAGGTTACTGCAATGTCTGTCCACATTTGCAAATTCCATACATAGTGCCTGGCACCCAGCATCTTGAAAGAATAAAGGATATGTTTCATTTCCTCCTGCCAAGCAGCAGGTAAACCCCTGTTGTGTGGTTTCTGTTGCATCTGATGGTAGTGACCATCAGCTGGCACCTACCCACCATGCCCATCCCTGCCCTATAGAATTCCCTGCAATGCCTCCTATCAGTCCATCACACTTTTCAGCTACACATAGTAGGACTTTCCTTCCCAAGGGGTTTGCTTTATGATAGTTATTTGTTTGATGTGGGCATCTGAATGATAGAACTGACATGAAAGCAACAACCCATTTCACCCAGGCTATCAAGCAGTTTTCACAAAGTAATGATTTTGAGCTGTCTCCATTCTAAGGTGTATTAGACTAGACTTGTAAGGCTCTTTATCACTAGTCCTCTGACACAGCTTGCCCTTACACTTTAGTTTTCAAAGGCAGGAATTTATGCTATTACAATTATTTTTATTTTAGATTCTGAAAAATGTCACAGGAAGAACAATTACAAGCTAGGATTCTGTGAAAGTACAGTGTGTGCAACTCTTCTGGCATATTTAGTGTCAGCTGTGCCCCCAGAATGGCAGTTGCTCCCACAGGCAAGCAAAATCCTGACTTGTAAAGGTTCAGTGTAAAAAAGCCAAAAATCAGAACAATTCCAAACTCTGTGCATTGCTGAAACTTTAATGATCATCTTGCAAGTATGTATTGCTGATAACATCCAGGTGGTCATCCTAAGATCAGTTCACACTAATTAAACACACAGTCCTTCTACAGCATCATTTTTCTCCTAGGAATTTCCAAGGAATGGAGATGACTTATCTCTGAGTAAAAGGAAATGGAGCCATGGAGGAAGTCAGAGAATCACCAGTGGGCAAATGGCTATAATAGCACTGAAGCCCACCTCAACTTCTGTTCATAAATACTGATGCAGGCACCACAGCAGCATTACACTATACTACTGCTCATTTGTTATACCTCAAGCAGTGCTGCTGAGTATATGAGCTGGATAGTACTACAACAAGCACAAGGAAGCCAGCACAAACTAAATCCCGTTGGTACAAAATGGGATACATTGGTCTCTCTGATTTTGACAAAGCAGGAATGTGTTTTTCAGTGCACTGTGAAATAAGGACTGTTCCCCTAAGCCAGTGGTTCCTCCAGCATGGCATGAATTTTAGGACTGATACTCAAAGCACTTACAAATGCCTCACTCTTTACTACAATGGGGAAAGCCTAGTGTGCTGCCCCTACCCACCTGCCATTCAGTTATATGTGCTCCATTTTGCCAACATACACTGCTCTTGTCTATGCTCCTTGGAAGGTTACAGGGTAGGGATGCACACAAATAAATGGGGGGGGGGAGGGGGAAGGCTTGTACAACCTAAGTCTGAGTTTGGCAGAGACCTAAAGAGCCTAAAAATCTATGCTTTCAAGCACCCATTTCCATTTTCAAAAGGAGTGATTGCAAGGCAGATTGGTTTGATTGCTCAAATCATCTTAAAACTTCCATGAAGCTAACATAGTGCCTACCTCCACCATGGTTTTTTGCATGCTTTATCACCATCTGCCCCATCTGCCTTCCTTCATCTAGTTTTGTTTTTATAGACTGTAAGCTCTTTGGTACAGGGACTGTGCTGGTTTTTATGTTTAGAAAGTTCCTTCATCAGAGTGGGCTGTACTGTTGGCCTAATAATAGTGGTAATGAGAGGTCAACTTATCTGGAGCAGAGCAGACGGATGAGAGAGACACCATACTATCTTATGGCCCCTGCAGAAATTGACAATTCAAAACCTAATGCAAGGGAAGTGCCTAGTTAAAGCTACTTTTGTGAATTACACACACAATCCCTGCAACCAAAGCACTGTGTCTTACATTATTGCTAGTATGGAGATAATGGGAATCAATTATAGCACATTTCCTCCTGTCCTGATAACCAAGCAGCAGGTAAACTCCTGCTATGTGTTTCTGGTTGCAGTAGGAGTGCCACGAGACAGTGATGTTTAATCATTGCCAAGCCACTGTCATTCTTCTTAGTTGTGTGTAAATATAGTGTAGCTGCTTCTTTGTTTGGGTAAACAAGCCTGAAAGACATGGATCCTCCCTCTTGGCCTTTTACACAAGACTAATATCATGATACAGTTCCTGAGCCTCCACCTAACAGGAGCCTCTGAAGTTGTTTGGTGTTAGCTTGCAGGAATCATGCTTCTTTGAATGTCACTGAAGCTGAAGTATATCTGGTCAATACTAAACAGCAGCCCTTTCTCATCACTTCTTTGGGTATAGTGATGTATTGGTATTCAGGGACTGAACAGGACACAACAATTCTCTCCAACATCCTATGGGTGATCCAGTCAAATTAGAGAGGTAACTGAGGAAGGAGCTGCATCTGCTATTTCCCATGTTATCCCTGCTCCGTGGATAAAGAACCCCATTCATCAGGATTATCCATCTGAGATCTCTCACCAGCACTAAACTCAGATGAGTATCAGTAGTGAAAGTCCAGAACTTGGATATGGGTCAGGCTTCCCATAGCTATAGGCCATCCATGAGAGATTCAGATGCATCATGGTGGGCCCCGATCTCCAGCTTGCATCCCAGGCACTGTCTTGCCTCTTGAGATTGTCATGGAATCATAGAAAGTTAGGGTTGGAACAGACCTCAGGAGGGCATCTAGTCCAACCCCCTGCTCAAAGCAGGACCATTCCCACTAGATCATCCCAGCTAAAGCTTTGTCTAGCCAGGCTTTGAAACCCTTAAAGGATGGAGCTCCCACCACCTCTCTGGGTAACCTGTTCCGGTGTTTACTACCCTCCTAGTGAGAAAATTCTTCCTAGTATCTAACCTAAACTTCCCTTGCTGCAACTAGAGACCATTGCTCCTTGTTCTGCCATCTGCCACCACTGAGAACAGTCTAGCTCCATCCTCTTCCGAGCCTCCCTTCAGGTAGTTGAAGGCCGCTGTTAAAGAACCTCTCAGTCTCCTCTTCTCTAGACTAAATAAGCCCAGTTCCCTCAGTCTTTCCTCACCATTTTTTGTTGCCCTCTGCTGGATTCTCTCCAATCCGTCCACATCCTTTCTGTAGTGGGGGGTCCAAAACTGAACACAGTACTCCAGATGTAGCCTCATCAGTGCTGAATAGAGGGGAATAATCACTTCCTTTGGCCTACTGGCAAGACACCTACCAATGCAGCCCGGTATGTTGTTAGCCTTCTTGGCAACCAGGGCACACTGCTGGCTCATATTCAGCTTACTGTCCACTGTAACCCCCAGGTCCTTTTCTACAGAGCTGCTGCCCAGCCAGTTAGCCCCCAGCCTGTACTGGTGCATGGGGTTTTTCCATCCTAAGTGCAGGATTTTGCACTTGTCCTTGTTGAACCTCATGAGACTTCTTTTGGCCCAATCCTCCAATTTCTCTAAGTCACTCTGAATCCTATCCCTACCTCTAGCATATTTACTACTCCCCGCAACCTT